GTGTGTGTGTGTGTGTGTGTGTGTGTGTGCAGTCACTCACCATTTCGTACATGAAATCTGGGTCAGAGCTGGTGGCGAGCAGATCAGTGCTGGTCAGGGCCTGGTCAGCAAACGAGTAGTTCTGAAATGCGTCCGCAAAGGGAGGCTCCATCCCACTGATGCTGGGCTTCAACATAACAAGAAAAAGAGCAAATTTAAGATACAAATTCAGGACATCACCCTCACAAAAATGAAAAAATTGCATGTCTTCTTAAAACTTTTACGACAAAGTATTTCAAGGAGTCAAGGAGACAAAAAAGCTGCAACAATAACTAACTGAATTTCTTAATGTTATACACCACATATTGCTATGAAATTGTCTTTTGTCACTGAAGTATCTGATATGAATGATAATGTGATAAAGAATGTGCAGAAGGGAAAAAAGAGCAGCATCATTTGAAAATGAAGAACACTTAGGGAGCCAACATCTTCTCCTCTTGAGGCTGATTGTGTAACCTTACTTAATCCAGCACCACACAGGAGAACAAAAAAAATTATACTTCCAGTCAGCACTGCTTTGTTTCATGAATATTTTGATCCTGAGTTGACATATTCATTCAGTCACTCATTCCCTGTAAGCACATCTGCCCCCAGCAGCTGTTTGGATGCAATGTCCTCAGAGGTCACACTGATTATGGGTCAGTCTCTCGCCCCCTTCAACACCAGCGAGCTCTATTTCATACCATTGGTCATGTGCCTAGTTACTGAAAAGCTCCATTTATTCGCTGCATTTTCAGATTTAGCTCTATTTTTATTTAATTTGTGTTGATAGAATCAGTCAAGTTAATTCTAGTTCATAAATACAGATATATTATAAATCCTATAACTGTAAAACTAAAAGTCTGTTGTTTTTTTTTATCATTCAGGGTATGGTTGTCATGGTTTTTCAAACTCAGACATTTCTGTTGATTCCGCACTTATTCACATTTCCAATCAAGCCATAAGTAGAATGAGGCCTTGATTTCCTTCCCTCTGTCGCCCTTCTTACCTGAGGCATTGCCAGGCACAGCTCAGAGCTCCAGCGGGGGTAACCTCTGGGCCTCCTGTCCAGTCCCAGTGGTGTGAGGTTATCGGATCAACACAATAAATTACCGCTGAGGGCGATAATCACAGAGTGCTGGTGGATGCAGCCTGCACGGCTGCGGGGAAGGGGATGGGGGAGAAGACGTCAGTTACTTGTCTCAACCTGGTCTGGTCTGGTCTGCTGTGGTTCTCTTTGTGCTTTAGGTCTGTGGTAAAAATAGAGAGCATGCACAGAGCAGAAGAATTAGAATGAAAAGAGAAGCAGTCAAAGATATAACCCACCAGTGGTGTTAGAGTAAACTTTAACCACAAGAGCTTGTTTGTTACTCTTCGTCAAACTGCAACATCATGAACTGAACTGAGTGCAAACCAAAAAGGAACAACACAATAATATCATATTTGATTTTTTTAAGTTCTGACCTAAGATGTGAGTATTTGCCGCGTTTCTCAACGACCATGAGGGTTAACAGCTTATTACGGAATTCAAGTCATTTTTATTTTGTGTCAATAGTTTCACAATTTGTTACATTTTATTGACCACATTAAAAAAAAAACATAAAAATAATCATTTGTTTCACAGCAAAAATCAAGAACAGGAATCAGCATATGCTCTCTGCTGCGTATAAATAATCTGTAATTCCTAAATGAGTCTGTTAAACAAACACACAGGCTCAGGGATGATAACTCATTATTACTGCCTGCACCTCACGAGTGAATTGAAAGTGAATTTGAATTTGTGGACCTCAGATTCTAATGCTAACTGATAATATTGGATAATATAATATAAATTAAAGAGACATTAATTCAAATGAACCTTAAGTTTTTTTTTCCATGCACCAGTCCAAGTCAGCGAGAACAACAACCAGGCCTTTTTGGCAGATAAATATCTTTTGTATCTTTGAAGGAACACATTATGGGAAACAGTCCCAGCCCTTCCAAAAATGCTGAACTGTTGCCTCAGGCTTCACTCTGTTTACTGATAACTGCTGGATGTGAGGATGGGCCTTTTGTCTGCATCTCAAGTGCTGGATCTACAGCCAGCTTTTCTCTCTGCCTTCTCTGTGACCATTTGGAACAACTATAAACACTTGGTGGAACGTCACCTCATAAATACAAGCTCTGATTGGGCAAAACCCGACCGTAACTTTTGAGAATCAGATCACAGGAAAGTCATAAGCCCAAAATCTGACTCATCAGATCCCTGGAACGAACTGAGTCATCATTACAAAGGTTCCCGACCGTGGATGCGGCACCACAGCTACACCATGACTCCAAATTGTTCCAGTAGCCACTCTGCCATAAACAAATACATTATTCAAAAATATATTTTTATAAATCTTTACTCCTTCATTATGATTTTATTCTGCCCATAGTTTTAAGTTACTATTATATGAGCCTTTCCTCAAAGCCTAGAAAGTGAAAGGTTAGGCGAGGTCAACAGGTAGAGTTCAGAATCCAGTACTTTTAATAAATCAATCATCTCAACAATGGCAAAAATCATTAGACCCACGTTGAATCCCTTTACCGTGTGAATATATGTCTGTGTTTAACAACTTGTGACAATTCTGTTCCATCTCCAATTAATCTAACCCAGATCTACATATCTTTGACTGTGGGAGGAAGCCAACCCACAGACATGCAGAACATGCAAACTCTGTGCAGAAAGACCCTGGCCGAACCAGGATTTGAACCGGGAACCCTCTTGCAACAGTGTTAATCATCGCACCCCTGAGCCGACCCAAACAGTCATCCATCATAGCACCAAGCAGAAACTTTAAAAAAACTGAGCAGCTGCTCAACATTCGTTCAAAATAGATGTGACTTTGGTCCCTTTGCTGCTTTTGCATAGCAAACAAATGAGAATCTGCATGGTGACAATACCAAGCAGCTGACACACAATCGTGCACTAACGCCACTTCTCTCTGATGCAAACATCACTTTTACTTGGTGCTGACCGAGTCAAATGAACTCTTCACCCCCGAGATATGTCCTCAAGCATCTCCTCACTTTGCAGAGAGACAGGAAGTGGCAGAGTGCAGAAATCATACAGCTGAGTTTGTAAAAGCAACACCTTCATGAATTCCAGCGCACAAGTCGAGGCATATAAATATGCACGTACACACAAGACCACTAATAAATTTAGAAGCTCCACCTAAGAATACAGTGTGATTATTATCACATCTCAATGTGTACTTCTGTCCTGGGAAGCTGAGTCTGACTTCACTGGTAGCAGAAGCAGAATGAGGAAACATATGGTCTGAACATAATAACAACAGCATTTCTACCACAGTGAGAAACAGAAACAGTCTACATGTGTTCACACTGACAAAGACAGTCTCAGTGATTCTCACCTCTCCACTCAAAGCTGCACTGAATATTTTCCAGTAGCAGAGTTTAATCTAATCCAACTCACCGCTCAGTAGCTGACACGGGCTGTGATGTAGAACCGGATATTTATGGCCTAACAGGCCCCAAAAGATTTGAGCTGGGTTTCTGTATCAGGGTTCGGTCAGACTTAGTTCAAAGATGACTGCCAGGATTAGATCTTTTCTTTTTAGCTCTTTGAGATTTAGTTCAGCTTAGGGTCAAAACAAATCTTAACTATGGTCTGGGTACAGGTTTAAAAATGTCAACTCATGTTCCAAAGTTTTGAGTTTTCAAACTGTTTATCTGACTCGAGGTGGAATTCACTAGATTTTTCCCAGTCAGGAGCAAATTCTTCAGACACCACATAATGCATCATAAGGCTACAACAAACAGACACCCTTATTCACAGAGTAGTGTTCACTTAAGAAAGATAAACTGATGAAGCAAAGTCAGGTTTACATCTCAGAAGAGCACAAAGCACTGGCTATACATCATTCTTTACTGCTGCAGTTCACATATAGAACAGGCAATCTCTTCTTATGCAATGGGGTTTTGTTCTTTCTCAATATCCAGGGACAACAAACTTTTACATAGAGGGTGAAAATGCAATCGCTCAACACAGGGAAGGCTTCATGTCTCAATGACATTGTTGCCCACAATCGACTCATCAAACAGAATAGAGCATCTGATGGGGTCACAGCCTTAATTTAAAATTAAAGATGTGCTTTGCTGTGCTGGGATTAGTAGTTTAATCATTAGTTAAGTTGCAGAAAGAAACTAAAGTTTGATAGCCATTCATTTAACAATGGACTGTCAGTAAATATGCCCAAGCATTTTTGTTGTAAGCCAAATATGAAATGTGGTTTTGAGGTAACATGCCGGAATAAGTGAACATTGGAGGCATTTAATTACTTTACTGTGGCCTGCACCAAACTGCCACTTGCACAGAAGATAAATGAATCAATAAATTAAGCAGTAATAGAAACAATTAGCTGTGTTACTGTATACACAGATTAATGAAGAACCATGTTCATCATTCGCCTCTTTTATCTTTGATTCTCATACAATTAGTTCCACAAATAAAAACAACAACAACAACAACATTTATAGATTTTTTTTCAACAGCTGATTACTTTTCTCCTCTCCCCATCAGTTCCTGTCCAAACAAAAAGAGAGGAAGCTGCAACTGTGCTCCACCATCATGCAAACAGTGCTCCACCATCATGCAAACAGCTCACATTCGCTGCCTCACAACATTGGACCAGATCCAAGTAGGCCAATCAGCAGAGTCTTATTTAGAAAGAGTTACCTACTGATACCAGTCGGCTCCTGATCCATACAGAGATAAAAGGCAAGATATGTCAGTCTGTTTGCATGTGGGAGAATATCTGCAAGATCAAGTCACTTTGGCATGTCATCCATCTTTACACACAGTCTATAGTATTACAAGGTTTTTTTCAACAGAAATTTTGACTTCTCAAACACGGTGAAACTAATATCATTGTTAACTGAGCCGCTGCATTGACATTTCTGAGACTGAGCCATTGTCATTGATGTTTTTGGTTCCACCTGAGCTTATCCTGTTAACACAGGTCATAGCTGTCGGTCAGGAGGCACAGTGGGTCGTTTACTGATGACCAGCTAAGGCATGAAACTGAACCCAGAATGGTTCCCTCATATCCGACCAGCAGGTCAAAGCCAAAATCTGACTGATTTGAGAACAATACAGCGCTTTAATTTGACCAGTAGGACTAACACTATTGATTATTATCATTATCTTTTAATCAAATTATTCTTTTTCAATTAATTTATAAAACATGAAACCTGAACAATGTCACTCAATTGCTTTTTTTGTCAAAAAAAAAACTGTCCAAACCCCAAAATATTGATGATCAAAATTGTTGCCAGTTAGCTTTCATTTGAGCAAATAATCATTATAGCTCTAGTGAAAGGCTTATCAAGATTTGCTCGGAAACAAGTGCTGCTCATTAGGTAAACACAAATATGAAAAAGCCTGTCTTGATTTTAAGTTCACCGTCAAAGTGTGTACAATATATTCCAAATGGCACTTTACATGGTACATGTGTTTTTGGTAAACAACTGTTATTTTATCCCTCACTATTTTAAAATTGTTGTGGATGACCAGCTTTGCTTCAGACACTGCATCTGCTGATAAAACCACAATAAGCTACATTTTCCCAAAAAACAATACAAAAAGCCTCAGAGCCAACAGATTAACACAAACAGGTAGACATGTAAAATAGATGAAGGTGGGTGAACAAAATGTTCCACAGAAAAACATATTAAACCATAACCCTGTCTCTCTTCATGATGCACTCACATGCACATTCTGCAGCAGCACATCTCCATCCTAACAATCATCAGCATCTAACAGGCAGGTGCAGCTTTATCTAAACACCAATAAATGCATAAATGTCACCAGCATCACCCCAGTCTCTGCACTCAGCACAGATCCTCAGCAAAGCAAAACAAACCCTCAGTCTAACGCATAGTGCCAACACCCACCTAATCTCGCCTCCCGATTGGCCGAGCGCAGACGACGTCCCGCCCCCATGTGCGTCTGGGTGGCCGCTACGGCTGTCAATCGCAGGGGGCTGCTGCATGATAAACAGCCCGTTTCAATCTAGGTTGAGGCAGAAGATAAACAAGTTGGAGGCCTACATGCCCGTGGCCTACATAGCTATATTTAAAAGATATATAAAGTCAAATCTCCCACTTTCTGCAAAACCTGAATGTACCACAGGATTGACAGCCAATCAGCGAGTCGATAGTATCTCCACCAACACAGGAAAACAAAACACTGATGGTTATCTGAGCAAATCGGGAGAAAAACTAGAGTTTAAGACAAAAAAATCGAAACTAATACATCCTCCTGAAGATGTTATGTTTTATGGGATGCTCTGTGTGGGTGTGTGAGCTTGGCTCGGTTGTGTTATTCAGCTCAGTTCACATGGAAATGTCTGACGGTCGAGTTTTTTTCCAGCAGCATTGTTCAGTGTTGGGGGGCGTGTACCTGCCGAGAGCTCGGCAGTCAGTGTTTTGCATTTCACTGATCCAGCGATGCTCTTCTTATCATTACTACACTTGAATAAAGTACTACCACACATACTAAAGCCATCTTACGCGAAAGTAAGTATTTTATAGGATGTGCGGAATAGTTTAAAAGTAGAGTAGATGCCAACCTTTTTGCATTGGTGCAGCTTTTAACCAACTATAACCGAGTTAGAGATGAAACAAAACTTATAACGAGACTCGTTTAAACGGGATATATTCGCTTAAATTGCAGGAGTTTAGCATAATGGCAGGTTAAACCCCCGGAATGGATGTGACATGTTAGCTAGCTGTTGGGTTTCTGTTCACAAACTCTTCCCACCAGAGCTCGACGAGCTGCAAAAGCACAACCAAAGCGGACACATCAGCGGTGTTTACTTCTGCCGTGACCGTGTGGTTTCAACGCGGAACTGCCGAGCTGTGCTTCCCTTTCACCCGCAGCTCACACACACCAAGTATGGCCTCCGTCCGCCCCCTTCCTCATCCCAGCCGAAGCCCGATACACAACAACAACTGACCTGCCGTTAGCTCCGCGGCTAATCCTCCGCGAGAAAAACCCCACTCCTGCGGGGCAGCGAGCAGCGGCCGCCCGCCGCACAGAAACGGTCTCACTCACCTCGACAACGCCCCCACAGACGTCCCTCTTAGCGTCGGACCTCGTGTAGGCTCTCGTGCCGGAGATAATAAGGCCCACTTTTCAATGGAGTCCACACGCTGCCGCAGCTCTATCGGGTTTGTTTTGTTTTTCTTCTTCCTGACGGGTTCCTGGAAAGCGCGTGACTGCCCGACCACGTGGTGCGCGGCCGGGCCAATGGCAGCAGCGCCCCGGGTTGGGGTGAAAACACAACATTTCAGCAGACTCGATAAACTGTGAGATTATAAAACATGTCTGAGAGCTGGGCTTTAGTCGATGTCTAGTTCGTGCAGTGGTGTTGTGTCGGGGCCTGGCTGCAGGGGGTCCCACTGCCCAACATTTTTTATTTATTTTTTGGGGGGGGCACTGTTGACCCCCACCACAGCTGACATCATGTTTCATCATGCACCCAATAAACCAATCAGGGTTCTGACACTCATACGTGGCTCAAATTATTAATGTGAACAAACAGAACAGGATGAATTCCCTCCTGTCCATTCGTGTGTTTGTGAGCAACATCACACAGTAAAAACTCTCCATGAAACTTTTAGATCCAAATTAAATTACATTTAGGGGCAGATCCAGAGCAGGTGGCTGATCCGGAGATTCATCTTTTCACTTTCTTAAACATTGTGAGATAGGAGGTTATTCAACATTTTCTCTCTTTTCTCAGAAAATAATTTGTGTATCTTAATGACAAAAATCAGGCACATTCAGACTGATATGTGAAATGTGGTGCAGCTTGTATGAATTTAAGGAGATTGTTTAGCCCTGGCAGAGGTGTGCTCTCTATTCAGTGCCACTCTATGTTTTTTTTTTTTTTTTTAACACAGTTTGAGGAGTGATTTGTTAATCCTGGATGAAGTTATCTTTAACTCACCCTTTCATAATAATGGCTGAGTGCAGTTACATGGTAGCAGTGTTGGTACACCTCGATTCATAGACATAATAAGGGCCTTAGCATTGAATGGTGCATTTCATTTTTTGCCATGTCCACACCTCATTTTTGAAGAACTATTCTGATCACCTTTAAATGTTGTCAGTCTAATCTCAAGACTTTGACAAGGATTAATGCAAAGATTAATAGTTTTCAGCTTATAAAAAGTAGAGTAACACAGGTATGAAGGAAGGGGACTTTATTTCATTGCTCTTGCGTCTTTGTATTTGAGAGACAATGGTTTGTCAACTGTCAACAAACTCAAACTTGTGTACAGTTGCCATGGGAAGAAAACATGTAGATGAATCTGTGTTTTGTATACATCATGACCATGTATCTCCCAATGGCAGTCTGTCAGAGCCTTCCCAATGTTTGCTTTCTATTTGTTTGCGATTTAAATAAAATTTTAATAATGTTTTAGCTTTCTTCTAGTGGCTAAAACTAGTTTTGGTTTTGGTCAGTAGAGGGCAGACTCCTCAAACAAAAAGTTCCGTAAAAAAATCAATACAATGAATCACAGGAATTCAATAGAGGTACTTTTATTATCACCTTTGCTCGTGGAAAGAGTGTTTGACATTGTGTTGCAGGTATTTGTACTTCGGTAAAAAGCCATTTGTCTTGTTTCTTCTCGATTGTGCTGCACTTTGGTCAATTGCAGTTGTTTTTAACTTAACTTTTACATTGTGTTATAGGTACTTTTACTCAAGTAAATTCATGGATGAGACACTTCTACTTGGAATTGAGTATTTTGCTCAGTTTTATTAACATTCAGGCATTTTCATTTCAGTTGAGTGTATGTTATTTATTTTGTTATGCTCATACACTATCTTCTTCTACAGTCAATTGCAGTTGTGTTTTTTTCAAATAAACAGTTGGATCACCACTGCTCAAATGCAAAGTGAACTGTAATTCACAGCAGACTACATGACAGATTTAAGAATAGTCCATTGAAATAAACCAATACTACCACAAGGTCAACAACAACACATAAACAAATGAATCCCCATTGATATACAGCATCTTGTGATAAACACCTCCCGTTGTCACATTTAAAAGTTATATTGAATTCTGACTATAATGAATAAAAACACTAACAGGTTTAAAAAGCTCTGATGAGAAGTGGGTCGCACAAACAGGAAAAGCAGGCTCCATGCAGCCGGCCCTCTTTTCTCCCGACAGCCTCCGGGCGGCAGCAGCAGCCTCAGCTCGTCAGGTTGATCCAGAGACTTTCAGCCGCCGCTCGATACCTCTGCGTGTGTCAGGCCCCGCTACCGAGTTCCTCCTCCGGATACGACTTTAAACGCTCACGGTACGTGGCCCCGAACCTCAACGCGTCCTGTTCACTTGTGTTGACCGACATTATGGTTTTTTCTTTACGTTTTATTTGACGATTCGTCGCTGCGAGGCCTCACTGACGCTGCGGTAGCAGGGCGCTATCGTAGGAAGCTACCATTGTGCGTGGTAATGCTAGCAGCCCGGTTAGCTCAGCGTTGAAATAACATTAACGGATTGTTTTGTTTCTTGAAAACGCACATGACGGATGTTTTAGCTTGTAGCTTGTGTATCAGTGATAATAGAGTATAATTATTGTCACGAATGATAGTTAAAATACAGCTAGCTACATGGTTAGCATTAGCCAGTATATGAGTGTTTAGTTAGCTTGGTGGAAACATTAGCGCTTTTACATGAACCACTTGTACCTTGGGTTTGCTAATAACATCCGCATAGCTAACTTTAAAATACATTAACATTAAACTAGTGTGTTATAACTACTGCAGCTACCTAATTCACAATGTTCCCAACCATTTATCAACAATCGGTATTAGCTAGCCACAGCGTTAGCACTAACCGCACGTATAATTGGTATGATCTCTTAATGTGTGTTTTATTTTGACATCCCTGATGTATTGACCTTGTGTGTTAAATATTGTTGCTGTGCTCTGCAGATAATGCCCACAATAAAACTACAGAGCTCCGATGGGGAAATCTTCGAGGTGGACGTTGAGATAGCCAAGCAGTCTGTCACCATCAAGACCATGTTAGAAGGTACAACTTTCAAACCACCACAAACTTCAAACACAAAGTCTGTTTTGTGTTTTACATTTGCATCATTTGGTCTATGTAGTGCAGACTGATGTAGGCCATTGTTTGATTCTTGACAGATTTGGGAATGGATGATGAGGGAGATGATGACCCAGTTCCTCTCCCTAATGTGAACGCTGCCATCCTGAAGAAGGTAGACACACACACACACACACACACACACACACACACACAGGAACAAGAGTTGAATAACAGATTTATCTTCCAAAGAGAACTTTAGTTTTGTTGAGTTACTGTATGTAAGATTTATATAAGTTTCTTTTTGAAATCGTTTGTTGCTGATAATTACACAATGGTTTACATTCATGGATGTTAAATTTAGATTAAGAAACTTAATCTATGATTACCCAGTAGTAGTTGGGTTGCTCTTCTGCTCCAGTGTTAGTGATTGATACGAGTGTTTTTAATCTGTTTGTGTCTTAAATCAAAGAGATGCTGCGTTAAGTAACAACAATCTATAAACACACTTTGAAATGAGTGTATATGTACAATACCCTCTGTATACCACGTGTTAGTATTTGTTTTGTTTTGTTGAAGCTGCTTTTAGGGACTTACTTTGAACAGTAATATTTCAGAGCCTATAGTTTGTGGTGCTGATTAATTGTGATGTGTTATCTTTAGAGTATTTTACATTATTTCTATTATTCTGCAATTATTGATTATAAATGTGTTGGACCAAAATATCACAAACACATCCCAACAAATACTGAACGTTAGATCCTTCTTAAAGGCAGAATTCATTGTAAGTTGTATAGATATCATTTTCATTTAAACTTGCCGGAACTAATAAATTGGCAAAAAGTGGTTTGGCTTATTTTTTATCTGTTATTTTTTTTCTCTCGCTAAGTTGTAACTGTAAGATAACACAGTTCTGTAGACCAAAATAATAAAGCTAGTGCAACAAGGAGCGGTTTAGTGTGTATTTGGATGTTTTAAATGCAGAGTTGCAGAATTCCATGCACATTTGGTTGCTTAAATCGAAGTTGTGTGTGTTCGTCTTCCAGGTGATTCAGTGGTGCACCCATCACAAAGATGACCCTCCTCCCCCCGAGGACGACGAGAACAAGGAGAAGAGGACAGATGACATTCCTGTGTGGGACCAGGAGTTCCTCAAAGTCGACCAAGGCACCTTGTTTGAACTCATCCTGGTAAATACAGTTTACATTACATGTGTGTGCTTATCTTGTATGACCTCTCTCCTCTGGTCTGTTAAGTAGTTTTCATTCACTACCATGGCGGAGAACTGAGCTTGCATTTTATTAACGGTTCTAAAATGACTGTAGCTGGAAGATGGCTTGTTTGGCTGTGGTAAAGGCAAGGATTTTAAAATATAGTATTAAGTCGAAAAACAACAGGGAGTAATCTAGCAAGTGGAAGATCCACAGAAAGAAAGTGATAGTGAACTGGACACAACATTTGAAAGGTAACCTAAGCAGAGATTGGGAAATAGGTGGTAGAGCTGTGGTCTTCCAGGAAGTGAAACACAAGTCGAAGTGTCCTTCACTTGAGTTGACTTTATCCGCCCACCCCCGCCCCAGGCTGTTTGAATGTGTTTACATGCTCAAAGACAGATGATGCTGAAGAGGCGAAGGTCTTACAGTAGTTCACCAGCTGCTCCTGTGACATATGAAAATGAAAGCACGGCTTTGATTATGGCTGGGGAATTAACTGAACATGTATCGAAACCGGCATTTATAACTTCTAATGACCCAATTTAGCTTATTTCACTTAATACTTTCCCCAAGTCAAGCATTCAGGAACTGTCAGGTTTACACTACGTTCCATGCCATATCACCCTGCTGCATGTCCTCACTCCTATGCGGACCTGCTGTGAAAAATATCTATCGTTGGATGTGTTTACTGGAGTGGAGTCTCAAGAGGGGGCCCAAAGATTTCAGTCCTGGTTACTGCGGCGACACTTGTAGTTACTGGTGGTAGCAGCAAATATGGTTTAATACTACAGGTCCCAGAATTCTGAAGGCAACTGTTAGGCAATAAATGATCTTTTTCCATCGTACTGTGATCAACCATGATTTTAAGCAACACACAACATGAGTCTGCGTAGAGCATGACACAATCAAAGGAGTTGGTTACCTTGAGATGTTGGGCTGCAGCCCATCACCTGCTGCTCCTCATCTAACTCACTGTGGCTGCTCCTAGTTGTTCCTGTACTCTCTGTACATTTTCAAAATGATCCACTGGATTCGAAGGATTGACCGTAAATCTCTCTGACAAGTTGCATTTCCTGTGACTATTTCATAAAATAATTTGCCACATATTTAATCAAATAAAGGATTTTGATGTGAAGCCACAGAAGTAGGAAAAGTTCAGTTTGCTTTAGCAGTTATTTAATATACAGATAATCTGATTTATTATTACATTAGTAGCAACTTGATACAAGAAGTTTATCCCTGCTGTCGCAGTCACCCTCCTTTATCTCGCTGTTGTCTTTTCTGTTTAGGCCGCCAACTATTTGGACATCAAAGGTCTGTTAGATGTCACCTGCAAGACAGTGGCCAACATGATTAAAGGCAAAACCCCAGAGGAGATCAGGAAGACTTTCAACATCAAAAACGACTTCACAGAGGAGGAGGAGGCTCAGGTACGTATTCCATTCATCACCTGTCTGTCAGAAAATATATACAAATGTGTCTTATATAAAATGCTAGTTAAAGTTTTACAACACCTACATTTTTCAAAATGTACATACTGTAATGTCTCTGCACTCTGAAATTAAAGCATAGAAGAACAATCGATAAAGAAGACACTGTTGTTCCCAGAAATAGGCTGCACTCTTAGTGGGTTTCGCTTTCATAGTGTATGAAAATCCTAAAGTTAAAGTATTGAGACTGAGGTTTTCCATCATTTCAGCCACTTCCTTTTGTTTCTAAGGTTTTGGGTCATTGTCTTTCTGAGACACGAACTTCTGACCAAACTATTTGTCTTTTGTTTCTTACCTATTTCCCACAATTCTAAAATCATTATACAGCACCTCCTGCAGTACAGTATTGTCCTCTGATTGTATCACATGGTGTAGTGACACAGTTTGTCCAAACACTGCCCAGAGTTTAAGTCTTAACATAAGTGAGGACACCTGTGGGACATGTTCCCTTTAGTTTTGAAGGCTTCATTCACTTCCACAGCTGCAGTAAGTAGGAAGTAAGATGACCAGTTTCTTAATTCCTGAAAAGGTTCTGTATTCTATGAAACCTACATTAGTTTTCATGACTAATACTGACTAAACCTTTTATCTAAAACTTTTGATCTGTACTGTGAATCATGTTGGAACGACACTGAATATGAAAACATGCTTGACTAAGAGCTTTTACTGTTGACCCTTCTTACAGTGTTTGAACCTGTGTCCCTCCTCTCGTCCTCAGGTACGCAAAGAGAACCAGTGGTGTGAAGAGAAGTAAAGGAGGAAGATCCTGCCAACACTACCACACTGAAAAGGATTGTCTCTGCTAATTGGTTGCACTGGCGTTGTTCATACTTGTTAATATTTACATTTAGTATATTTAAAGCCACATGACCCCTCTGCCGCCCCTCTATTTCTGTATACCAATAGCATGACCATTTAACTTGCTTGTGTGGTGTTATTAATTTAAGTAAAGAAGCTCTTTCTGATTCCCACACTCTCCTGTTGTGTATTCTCCTAAAGTGAACGTTCCTGGGTTCATGGCTTTGTACCCCTAAAGTTTAGACAGCAGTCCTTTCATACTCCTCCTGTCATTAATTGCTATGATCGTCTTTTTTACTGGACATGTTTGTTTTCTTTTAGGTTAATTGATTAAATAAAATGGCTTTTTTTGACAATGGAAAGTAAAGGGTGAATATTATTTTGCCCTGTAAAGGCATTTGTTCTGTGAAACCGTGTTAAGAGCTGTTAAGGAGACGTGAGGTTTGAGGTAGAAAGGTTTTTTTTTTTCTTTTCTCCTTTTTGCATAATGTCCGTTGGACTTGAAGTACTTGTGTGTTGTCACACAGTGTTGGGGTAAATCATTCCTGATTCATGTTGTATTGAATAGGAAACTGCTCAGATAAGCTCTGATGCTGGCTTTCGGGGTGGTCAAAGATATACTGAAGGAGTAAATAAACCATGAAAAGGCTGGTGTCTGTCATCTTTGTGTTGAAGGAACCAGGTCACGTTTCTTATTACTTTAATAACAAGAGACGGAGGACAAGATATTCAAAACACTTTTAATACATCAAACAAAAAAACAAGTAATACATCAGAGGCGTTCGAGGCATAAAAAATACAAAAGACATGTTTGAGGCGTTCCTGCTGAGTCCTCCAGCTATTTCTAGCACAAAGCTCTCCCTCTGCTGGAGGAAGACTATTTGCTGTACAGGAGCTCAGCCTGCAGTTTGTCCGCTGAGAGCTGAGCTGAGTAAGAAGCTGCAAATTAAAGCCTTTTAGTCGAAACGTCGTCTTGTAACGTTAAAGTTTGGAACATGCACAGATGGAGAACATGGAGATACCTGAACGCTGCTGCAGTAACACGGCCCAAAAGTAAAATTCTGCACAAGAGGACAAACACAAATGTATTGCTTTAAGAAATGGTGGCAACTAAAATGTTTTTTTTTTTCAGTTTGACTTTTTTTTCTTTTTCTTACATAAAAACATATAAAAGTTTAATTATAATAGGGAATTCCAACATTTAAAAAACTTTACAACACAATGCAATATAATAGTACCCATTTGGTCTCAGATCAGTTTATGGAGCTGCAAAACGTTCAAGAAAACTTTCTTTGAGGGTTTCCCCACCAGCATCAAAATATATGACCTTTAAAAAGTTTTATACAAAAATACCCACAAATGAGGAGAAAACAATAGAAATGTATGTTGAAAAAAGCAAAAGCCTGAAAGTGCCTAAATGTGAAGAGGGATTTCTCTGATCCTGTTTTCTTTGTGTCAAAATGGCAGCTGTAATAAAAGTGGACCTGTCCCTGTTCAGAGCTGAGGTTCTGCTGGTGAGGCCGACAGCTGGTTGGCCTCTCTTCCCCTCTCCTTGAGGTTTGTTCTCTTACTGGTGGATGATGGGTAATGAAAGTAATGTGGAGGAAATGTATGTAACAACACTTAGTCTCCTGCAACAAGTCTGGTGTTTCTAGATCTGTGGTACATTTGATTAAGAGCTCATATGCAAAACACTTGTTATGATTGTCATGGAGGTCAGAGCTCAGCTTCATCTGCAGAACAAATATCTGTTTTTAGGAAGATGATTTCTCAGAGCTAATCTCCAGGTAAAGCTAATCACGTCACCAGCAGATGGAGCCAGAGAACCTTTAGTTTGAGGCTCCAGATGAATTCGGCCTTCAGCACTGCCACTGTACAACTGGAGCTTGTTCTCGAGCAGGGACCTGTTCTACAAAGAATGTCTGAGGTTCTGATGTTTTTAAATCTTAATTGGCCTCTTCTAGTTATAAATACTAACACTGTGATGAAAAACAAGTGCAGGCTGGTAACAGTTTACCTCCTGCAGTGACATTTCATTGGTTTCAACTCAAACTGGGGCTCCGAGATCATTTCTGTCAGGAAATGATCTCTCCAGAGTGAGGCCAGAGGAACAAAGTTAGAGAACCACTGGTTTAAACCATGCGTTCCATTTCCCAGAGACGTGATGAACCACATATCTGTTCACACGATGTGTGTTATTACATGATGTTTCCAGTCTCTGAGGCTGACGAGGATTTCCTGAATGCTTGATTAAAGAACTGATCATGCGAAGGAGGCTTTGAGACAGACTAAGCCTTGTTGACCTGTTAACGAAGGACTTGGCTTGGAAACGCAGACTTTGGGGGAAACCAGCATTTGAACTGAGACAGGTCTGTAAATGTGGGACAGTCCTGCAGGACAGATGATGGTGGACCCATCATCCTGTCAACCACAGTCGCTGCTTCTTTAGTCATCTGACAAGAAGTATGGATGAATGTGAGGATGAAGGCAGGTGATCTTTGAGCAGCGACAGAAGCTGAGGTGAACATAGGTCAGGGATGTGAGCGGACAGGAGTGATCACTGAGTCTCTGTTAGCACTTTGAGAGAAAGTCCCGCGGCTTTGGCGGCGGACAGCGCCGTCGTTGAGCCGTGCACCTGCTTGCCGGACAGTTCCATGTGTGTGTGTTTGGCTGCAGGCTGCCTGGGGCTGCCATGCTTGCCGGCCGCCTGTTCCGGGGACAAGTGTGAGTGCGTGTGCGGAGACAAGGGGAGGCGCGTTGACGGGGAAGCGGGCGTTGGGGAGCAGCCTGGGGAGGCAGGGTGCTGACGCTGGTGCTGGTAGAGCGGGTGTTGGGATGGGGACGAGGAGGGGGGAGAGTCTATGGCACTTAAATCTGAAGAAGTTGGGCTGGGGCAGCCTCCTCCTTGAAGGTAGCGAATGCACTTCTTTTTCCTCCTAGGAACAGTCAGAGAGAGTTATCTGTGAATAAAGTGTGGATGGTAAACGTCAGCAGGCGTCAGTGGAGATGCTTCACTCACCATGAGGTCAATGAACAGGGAGACAAACTGTATGATCACAACGGACAACACACAAGTATTAGTGTTGGTGCACATACAGAGAAGTATTAGGGTCAGGCGTGAGGACACAAATCAGAAAGGGAGGATTTATTTTTCTATTTTACATTTCAGACAAGAATAAAGTCAGAATTTCTAGAATAAATTTGAATTTCTTGATTAAAGTCAAAAGTTTAAGAACATATTAAACCTCTACAAAATTCTTTCTCCTGTCGCACATAAACACAGTGTGGTAATCAGTAGGACTATGAAGAGATTTTGCCAAACACTGTTATGAAGGAGATGCCACAAGCTTGGAAGTATGAAATACTGGCAGCTCGCAGTCATTTACTTTGACTTTATTCTTGACATTTTCATGTTACTCTTGTAATTATGACTTTATCTAATCTTCCTTTTATTCAGTTCTAATCATTCGTTGTTTCAGCTTTATTCTCAAAGTGAAGATAGGAAAAACAAATCTTTTCTTTTTTATTTTGCCTGACCCTCATACTCTTCTGTAATCTATGGAAGTCTGTCTATGAATGAACATTTCCAAAACCACATAAACGCATTTTGAGAAATTTCCTAAATTTTATATGTAGTTAAACGAGAACCCAGTCTGCTGCTATACTAAATCCGAGCACTTAGAAGTTACTTTCTGTCATAGGTTAAAAAAAATATATATATAAATACATTTTTTGAAATGTTCAAATATTTCTTTAACTTTTAGAACATTGGTAATCAAGTATGAACAAAAAGGCAAACATAAGTACTTTCTAAAAGGTTTAATTATTCCACTCAAAATATCAGTTTTCAGTTGATTAATGCTAATATTTCTGTATATTGATGCTTATTTTGTTAATTGAGAGTAGGGAATATCACTCAGCTGTTTAATTACTATAGCAAATACATTGTAAGTGTTATATTTTTATTTAGTACTATCAATATCAAATAATCAACTGCTTAAAATCACCGGTCTCATGGAGTCGACACAGTGACCTTAAGCATTGTAAACGCCACAACATACTATTCCTCACATGTTCCCTCTCGTCCATATTGCATCTGTGTAATATGCAAACGGCAGTGACGTGCTGTGCTCGCTGAGGTGTGGCACTCGTCTAACACTGAGCATCATCAAAGCACTGAACAGGATCCCATGATCATTACCAGAATATGATATGAGTCACCAGGTTAAACCGCGAGGGGGGGCGCTGCATGGGCCGTATTTAGAGAGAGACACACGGAGGGAGAGAGGGAGGAAGGGTGCAGCAGAAAGTGATTTCTAAATGTTAGAGTTCACCATCAAACAGAGCCTGTTACCACATCGCATGAATGGAGAAAGTTGAAAGCAGATGGGCATGAGAACGATGTCAAAATGCAAAGCTGCAGGGAGCGTTTGTGTGTGTGTGTGTGTGTGTGTGTGTGTGTGTGTGTGTGTGTGTGTGTGTATGTGCTGGGCTGTGGTGATAAGGATTTGCTCTAACCACATTCACTCCCCTTTGTTCTCTCAAAACGAAAGATACGCATATGAATGCACACTCACACACACAAATTTCCATGATGTGATGGTGGGGAAGACGATGGGGTTGCTACACTGCTGTTGTGGTAAAAAGGCTTTTTTTTTTCTATAGAACCACACGAATTCCTGAATCCTGCAGAGAAGCTGTCGCCTGTTGTCCACTGTAAATCCTGTATGGCACATTATGAAAACAAACATATAAAGGACAAATAGATCTATCTATCCATCCATCCATCCATCCATCCATCCATCCATCCATCCATCCATCCATCCATCCATCCATCCATCCTGCTGTGACTAAAACAGAGCAGTTAGATGCTGAAACAAGCTTTTCCTCACAGGTTGCAAATTAGCAATACTTGCTGTTGATGATCCACAGGATGCAACTCCACAGGTTTTATGCTCCGTGATCGTAATGGCTTCAAGTCAAGTGGTTCTAAACTTGCCCTGGTTTCATACAGTGTTGATTTCAGCTCTGTAACAAAATAAAAACACCTCGGACATGTACTTTGGAGAGTTTTTGAGAGCCAGGTCAACTCTGCATCACTTTTTCTGGCAACTTTGTTATTGAGTGGCATTCCCCTTAAACCACATTGACTTTTACTCTATGATGCACTAGATGGTAAAACAGTGCCGCAGAATCCAAACCAACTCTGACGAGACAAGTTTGGAGTTTTTGGAAACAACAAAATAAATCTGAGCCAAATGTGGTTTTGTTTTTCACCCGTGATGCCTTGCTTAAAATCGAACGGTGATATTCAACTCACAATCTGTTGATCTGTCTATACATGCATGACTTTACAACATTACAACATAACACTAAATATTTGAGGAGACTAACATGTTAGTCAAAGACAGCCATGCAGAGCTCAGACTGGGTTTTCAGGAGGAGCTTTGTAACTTAATTCAGTGAGTAATCTACGACTAAACGAACTGTAACAGTGGCTACAGGGTACTAAAAGCTTTTAAACAACAATTAATCAATGTACATCTGTATCATTCCCACTAAAAATATAACTCACAATACATCTGCTTTAATAACTAAGACGGCATCGGACAGAAATGATTGCACTGATGAAGATGAAAAGATAGACAGAAGACAAGATGAGGTGTTAGTCGGACAGCCACAGTGCGATGCTGTGAAATGAGGGGTGGGCGTGGATGTTTTTGGTACACACCTGCAGGGACCGCACCAGTCCGTTTGTTGGTTGAGGCCGAAGCGAGCTCTGCATTTCTTAGGAGAGCCCGGGTCTGAGCACAACAAACAGCATGCACAAAACAACAAGAGTGGACAGGAACAGAGGAAGAAGAAGTTAGAGAAGAAGGAGGAAAAGAAAGACAGGAGTGCTCGTCAGTGCAGAGGAAGGCAGTGAGAGTCAGCGTGTTCAGAGAGAGCCATTGAACTGTTAGTAGCTGTTACAGCAAAACATCAACAACCATCGGAATACCCGCCCGACACAGACGGCATCATTGAGACAGGCAGAGAGACACAGACGGAGGTCACCCCCCCCCTCGAAATCCGGATTCATATGTCTCAGTCTGAGGCTGGAGTTCGGCCTGATGCTGCATTTGTTTAGGCTGCTGCACATTCACAGTCATTAGTTCTCTATCGGAGCACAGTGTTAGTTGGAGCACTCACATCACACTTCATTCTGCTACATCATCAGTGGCCCGCCCATCAGCTGATGGGCTACCAGCTGACTACTGAGAACGACCAACATCAACATTTTCTACCAAGCTCCTGAAACCCCAGCGTCATTCCTCATTTAAGATTTGGATCATTTCCCCTGCAGGATTACTCGAGGGATGGGACATGACTGCAGGATCTGGATCAATATTTTTTTCACTTTCTTTCATTGCGTTTTTCAACATTTGTTTGTTTAATTTGGTGCAGATTAAAAAAAACACCTCGATCTAGTGAATTTAAATGTGGTTTCATAAGGGGACTTTTCGGCCTTGGTTGAGGTGTGAACTCAGAAGTGCCATTTTAGTTCGTCTCTGGAACTTTCTCACTTTGGATAGTTCCTGCGGGTACCATTTACGGCTACACTGTTAGCATGAACACTCATATGCAGCACGTGTATGCAGAAGAATTCAATAAGTGTGTCTTCATCCCCTCACAATATGTGTGCGAGTATTTTTGATTGATTTAAAACGAAAAATGGTCGAAAAACTGCTGTGATGTCCGACTGACATTTCAGCATCAAACTTAAACCAGGGGAGGATGAACTTTGTGCACTGGTGATTAAAAATGTTTGTAATCCAGGTTAAGTGGAAAGCAGAGTGGGTGGGTGGTTTGACGTTAGAGACACATCCTGCCCTAAAGTCTCAGAGAACATTGCTCTGCAGCAGAGCGCCAACGCACGTTCAAACTCAACTCAATTCTCCAGCCGGCTGCAGAGTTGACACTAGTTATTTTGTTTTCTATAAGGAGTCATGGTATCTGAAAGGATTAGATGAGAGGTTTTGGTTCTGGGTGTTTACCTGTGTTGGGGTCCTGCTGCTTCTCCCTTTTTCTCCTCTTCTTCTTGCCCTATTGGAGAAAAGAAAAAAAGAAAATTCCACATGAATTTCCACATTGAAATGACTGACTTGTTTTCATAAATTCACCATCAGGACAAGAATCATTAACAAATATGGCTGATGAATCCAGTTCCTCTGGTTTGTACACAGGGTTAGATAAATCAGCCAGTTCTTTATAGATGGTGGGATTGTGCAGCTGTTCTCTCTTTTCCTATAAATCAAATTTTCTGGTTTGAACTTATGTATTTTTATATGATTTCCCCCGAGCTTTAGGTGTTTTTATATTACTCTAAATGAAATCTTCCTTTTAGAGTGATGCTAAAAATGTCTGATCGGGATAACGCCTGCTCCTAAACAAAAATCTGCACTGCATTAAAAGCTTAAGGCTTCTTTTGTGACATGTAAATCTACAAGATCAGAGCAGAAAACAAGCAACCAAAGAGCCAGAAACAAACTAAAGAAAATACTTTGAATTACTAATGCAACAGTCAACACAATCCATGCAATAACCTGTGATCCGAGGCACTTGAAGTTTTAATAGTTTCTGCATCAACCCAAAAATCTTTGCTCTGCTGTAACTGTTGTGATAAACATCATTGTTCACACAGATACAGTGAAGGCGAAGCGAGGCCTCGTGTTTGGGTGAGATGAAGGATGTGGGTACACAAATCTGCTGCCTCTGCGTCAGTGTCTGCTCTCCTCAACGTTGTGACTATGTGGTTACAACAACTCCTCCTGCATCTGCACCTCTGTGTCTGTGGGCATATGTGTATATGTTTGTGTATCTCTCTGTGTGTATATATACTATATGTGGGTTTTTGTCGAGTCGGAGGAGAGACTCTCCACAGCTGCGGGATGGTGTGTGGAACTTTGCTTCCTGTTTTGCACGTGGGTCCAGTTATTGTTGTTTTCTTAAGCTCAGAGATGGAGAGTGAGGAGGTTTCATCAAATACAACAGAGAATATTTGAAGCACAAACTATAGAGGATATGAATAATGATATATATGTATATGTCATCATCACACAGCATGTACATATGTTCCTGGCAGATATTGCTGTTCTGTGCCTGAGTATTTTGAAAGAGGCGGTGAAAAGTTCACTTTGGCTGCTGCTGAACCATTGCATAGTTTTCATTATCATCAGAAAAAAAACATTAAACATGCAGAATAAACTTTCCCAATGCCCCTATAGTTAAGAACAGAATAAGAAAACACTTCCCAGTAAGTCACCAATGTTGTTTAGATATTCAACATTTGCCATTAAGAACAAAGCAAACAGACTCCACAGGGTTATCGCTGTGCTCAAAGCTTCATGCATGCAGCAGCAGCTCCTCCACCAATAATCACTTATTATTATTAATAATAATAATAATATACTAAATATACTTTACTAAAGATCTGGTTTATAAGAGTTTATAAATCACAATGTTTGAAGAGGGGCCTCAGAATTAACTCTACACAGACAGGGTCAGAGCTTTTATTTTGAAAAATAAACGCAAAATGCCATTTCGCTGCTGTCTGAGCTACATGATAAAAATTAGACGAGGAAAAAATATAATTATATAAAATAATGAAGAATGTTCAGACCTGGTGTTAACATCTGTCCTGAGAGATCCGATCACTAGTGGTCAGTGCTAAGTTCATCTGCTGGCTTTTTGTCCTGAATGTGTTTCCCTTGAACTCTTGTGATCAGTCACTTCCCTGTTCTGTATGCAAATGTACACGTACAAAATTATGATCCATGACGACCAAATTAAGTTTTTTTTTAGCCACCGGGAGTTTACAGATGTGTCCCATGTCACTGTGTTAGTGTGTGTGTGTGTGTGTGTGTCAGTGCAAGCAAGAGAATGAAAAAAAAGAAATCATGTGTTGATATTGTGTCCACAACAAATCAGCATATGGTCACAGAGAAGCGTAAACATATTTGCGATCAGAGGATGTTATCTGAGTGGGAGTCCTTCAATGTGGCTCAGGATGCGAGTCTGAGGGATCGGATCTCAAGACACATCGAGGATACATCTGGGTGTGCTCAGACCTGCGCTGACCACATGTGATCGAATCACTCAGGATGGATGTTGACACCAGGTCTGAATGGAGCCAGCATCCATGTTTGTTCACAGCCTACAGCAGAGTGTAAGTGCAGCTTGTGTGCCATGCCTGTGTATGTCGAGCTCAGCCACAGAGAGATAAGTGCAACAGAGAAAAGCGTAAACAGGTTTCCACTGCAGAGATTAAATGTGGCTAATAAACCTGTGTTAGCATCAAAGCTTTTCATTCACCTGAGTATGACACATTACCTTCATCACTTCATAACGTTTTTATTACAAGATTTACTTAAACCGGACATTTTTAGAAAAACAAATGACTACTGAGTCACGACTGAGTGCTGTGACAATAGGTTGTGTGATATGTCATTGTTTAGCTATAACTGATAGAAGGTGCTGCCTTTTAAAAGCCCACATTAATAAAAATAAATGAAAAACCACAGCAGCGAGGCAGTGAGGCCAGCCATGCAGCCCTGTTCTCTGTTAGTGGAGCAAAACGGGTTGATTTATACCTCTGTGTGATTCAGCGATCAACAGATAAACCCTTTAGTAATCATAACCAGCGTGCACGTGTCCCTAGCTAACCAATCACACTTCATGTAGCAGCTGATGTGTTGTGTGTCAGGCTGATGTGTGAGTGTGAGTCGCTGAGACTTTTGGAAGGTGCATGCAATCTTTGCACAGGAGTACCCACAACCCCTTATCATGCAGCCCTTCATTTCTTTTTTTCCACCACAGAGGCATAAATCCACCATAAGATGTGTCCCTACCCAATCAGCTTTACTCTTTTCCCCTGCGACCCCGCTAAGGCCCGCCTCCTGCAAGAGTTCAACAGCAAACTGACAAATGAGAGGCACACAGCAGCCCAGACACAGCACATCCCCCAAAAACATCACACTACAATGCATGCACCACACAGATTGATTTGTATTCTCTGAGAGTTGCTTAATAAATCCATGTGATAAAAGTGCGTTGTTATGTTTAATGTAATTATGAAAGTTGTTGAGGCAGTATGCAACAGGTGAAGTTATTATTTTAACTCTAAGGTAACAACAACAAACCAGAGACTAAAGAAGTTTGTTTCATTAAATGTTTTAAAATGTTTCCTCAAATTCAGGTTTCTGCTTCTGTGAATATCCAGTGTTGTAACTATAGGAACCAAATTACTCTAGATAAGGATCCCATGACAACTTCAGTATAAAATTCATGATTTTTCCACAGTTTTCAAAGTCTGAGTGCCTCCTCAACCTAAAACTTTACATCTTCCTGTTTTTTGTGTGTTTTTTTATGAAAACCATGATTTTGCCTCTGTTGGATTTACACTGACGTAGAATTAACAGTAAATGGAAAGATTCAATGTGGAGGAAGAGGAGAAAAGTGGAGGAGGAAGAAGAGGGAGTCCTTACGTAGTTGTCTCTGGCGGACCAGGTTGGGTAGAGTTGCATGTGGAGTTGTCTCTCTTTCCTCGCCAACTCATAGTACTTTGCTTGTTCCTCCCGGGTCAGTGCGTGCCACTGTACCACACACACACACACACACACACACACACACACACACACACACACACACATAGTATTAACATCTAATATTCGTTATCTACACAGTCAACTAAACTGCACAGTCTCTGGTTGGTTTGATGGATTAACCTTAATAGATTATTAAAAAGTTATCACACTAAAAGAAAGATTATCAAATTATATATAACAGTAACGAGGATTAAAATAGACTGTAGCTGAAATTTGACAAGAAAATGCAAAAAGTAGCAACAAAGATCGTGAACAGGGAGACAAGGCTTTTTCTGCAGATCTACAGTAGGTGTACGATACAGTGTGAGCTGCATCTAAACTAAAACAAATGCAATCACACACATCAGATCTCAGATCCACCAAGTCTGGTTTGAAACAAAATTCACATAACCACAGTCCTCTTATGTTCTTCATGTGTGAAATTACAGACTGACCTGGAAACAGGATTTGTGTGTTTGTGTGTGTGTGTGTGTGTTTGTGTGTGTGTGTGTGTGTGTGTGTGTGTGTGTGTGTTTGTGTGTGTGCCTTGCTCACCCTCCGCCCCAGAATCTGGTTGATGGCGGCGCTCTCCTTTAACGTGCACTCAGCGATGACCTTTGCCCTCATCTCCTTCATGTAGAGCATGAAGGCGTTCAGCGGTTTCTTGATGACCGGCTTCTTGGGCTCCTTCTCCCGCTTGGGCTCCATGTGCTGCTTCCTGAAAGGGGGAGAGAAAGAAAGAGGGGAGAGGGAGTGAGAATGGGTGAAGTTATTTATGATCAAAGATGGGAAGAAAGTCAAAATCAGTTCTTTTCTCTTTTGATTTGTGATTCTTTGAATATTTTCTTCTGCCTAAACATCATCATCTGGATCAAATGAATATGAGGGGCGTGAATAAATGTGGCATATATTGAGAAAAGAGATGATTCAAGAATAACAAGTATTAAATTGACTGATTGAATCAGGCAGATTAGATAACATGGGCATTTTTACATCTGAAAAACAACATTGTTGAGAGAGAGGAGTGGAAAGAAATGGACCAAAAACAATGAACACAGACGATACTTACACATACATGCCCCTGTCATACTGGTCGTGCTCCTGTTTGCCTGTGGGGGGCACTATGGCTGGGTGGGGGATTCCTGTTGGATGCATGCCTGATGGGCCCAGCATCAGAGAGTGAGGGAACCTGGTAGAGGTAAAAAAAAAAAAAAAAGAGAGAGAAAGGAGGAAGAAGACAGAGAAAAATAAATTTGGTCAGTCGAGAGAACTGTTAAGTTGGGGGGGCAGAGGGGACGGAAGCAGAGCCAGAGTTGTGCGAAGCAAAAAAGCAGGAAAAGCTTCTTGGTTGAATAAGTTGAGAGTAATTTATTTCCACCTGGTGTGAGGAAGGATTTGTAACTTCCATGTTGAACTGCTATTCTGTGGGTTGAACATGAAGGATTCCGTATCCTCTTTATTACATTTATTACAGGCTGAACACCGCGACTACAACAGCCTGATGTTGCACAGCTCAGTAATCTGGTGGCTGTTGATCATGTCGAGTTTTAAATGTGAGATTTGCTTCTTTATTGAGTTGTGACATAAGCATTTGTTGCCCCTAGGGGGCGCCCTAGCCTCACTGACAGAGACCAGGAAAGCGGACGCTCACATCTCGTCTTGTAAAGTCTGTCTTCAGTCAGTGATATCTTTTACATCTTAGATGTCAATAAGTATTTCACCTCCCAAGGATCCAAAGATTTAGACTAAAAGATTTGGGGTGAAATTTACTGTTATTTTTCCCGTTAAGTTTCCCAGATAAAAGCGTCAGTAGATGTTTTATGAGTTTGTTCCAGCAGCTTCAAATGCTGTGGAAATAAGATGAGAAGCAGCAACAAGCATCAGTTTGTTATAAGCTGCATGGAGATCAGACCCAAGCATGTTGTAATTATCCAGTTTCTCTGTTTGGATGCATACTGCATATTGTTGTAAAAGTCTATCTAGCTTTCAGTCATTGTCCAGAACGCTCCATCTATGGCAGCTACAGGTGTAAAACAAACTGTGTGAAATGTTGGTTAACTCCACACGACTGAGGCCTTGAGTTTGAAGCCCTGCAGACAACCTTACACCCAACATGTGACTACAGAGAACTTTCACAGTGGTTAGTTTATTTTGTAAATTGAGTTGTATTCATAGATCGAGAACATAATCAAATAATGAAGAATATAAGAGAGGCAGCATTAGCAAGGAAAAAGCAGTCCTGATGGGGGTGGAAGAGTGTGTGTTTCTGTGTGTGTGTGTGTGTGTGTGTGCACGTCAGCCTGGTGTATTCTGCAGAAGCGATCAGCTTGGCTTGTTCTGGCGAAACACTGAACTCATCCTGTTTACAGCGCACTAGCTCTGATAGGACTTTGAAAGCTGACACAGAAGCCGAACACCAGTTTGCCATGGTGAAGGGAAAACTGCTGCTCAGGCAGTTTCTGAATGTGCTGTAAACAGGAGTAGATGCTGCGGAGCGCTGCTTGTATTTTTTCTCTTTTCAATCTCTCTCGGCTCTGGTCCGACCAGCCGGCTACGATACCTGGAGTAGGAGGAGGTGCCGGGGAGGTTGGAGGAGTAGGGTTGCCTGAATCCACAGGGGGTCAGGGCAGGATAGACTGGCTGGCTCTGCCTGCCACATCACAGCAGAGGGGAGAGATGGCAACAGTTGGCGCCTTTTAGCTTTTCAAGAAAAAGTCTGTTGCTCCCTGTAGGGACGTTTAACCCTTTGGATCAATTATATTCAAAAATAATATTCATTTAAACTCAATTTTATTATTTGATTAAGGAAAAATTGAAGTTAAGATGAGTTCAAACGCGCATATATTAATTTTGAAGTGTTTTTTTCCAGTTACATGACTGAAATGAGCAATTTTCCTACATTTATGATTAGTTTCTCAATTTCAATAATCAATATAATCCTGTTTCTCAAGAGAGGCCTCACATTTCTTATCTCTATGTGTTAACAAGATGCATTTATCTTTCACTCTGTTGCACTTTTATTTGCAAATAAATGCTTGGTAAATTAGCTAATTCTTCCATAAAGTGATTCCTCTAATGTTTATTCGATTTTTGTAGCCACTTCTGTGCTGCTGTGACGCTCGCTGATCCCTCATGGGGACCGTGGATCAGCTCTGTTGACAGCTGTGTGTCAATACTGTGAACACACACACTCACACCCCGCGGGGGGTCGAGGGTGGAGATTGGGTGTGAGGAAAGAGCCTTTGATATGTAGAAAACCACACTTCTACCTCCTGAGAGTCAATACGACCATCCCCCTCTTCTTCCTAATGTTTAAATGAATGCACACACATGCAGCCCAATCTACATCTATAATCTTAACCCATCTGCTATCAACATCTTCTTCTTAACTGTATCCTGTCTTTAGCCCCAGGAGGCAGACGTAGAGTAAAGCCCGGTATCAGAGGCCCTCGGCTGGGTGGAGATCCAGAAAACCCTGGGATCAGTTGTCTGAGGTCACACAGCAACACAGGTCAAGTGTTGTTCAGATAAAGAAATGGTTCAACCAGAGCAGCTTTTCTCCTCAGCAGGAAGTTGCACACATGTCAGGTCTCAGCATCCAGAAATCAATCGGTCAATCAGAGTGATGTATCACCGTTCAACAGCCAACAAAGATCACTGTGTTTCAGACTGTTCTGGTGACGCCATGCTCAAACAGAAAAATGCTTCCCAAGCGAAAGGCCTGGCTGCACAGAGGAATGCTGGGAATGTAATGAAAAGTGAAGGAAACTGTCGCGGTGGCCAGCTCCTCATTCATTCTCTTTGTCCCTGAGTTCACTCACAGGTAACGTGACAGCAAAAGGCAAACGGCTTCTGAAATCAAGCTTTTACTCTCGAGGCCTTCACAATCTGATCGGACCTGGCTGCTTCCTTGTTCTTCAGGTTTATTCAAAGGACAAATAGGAACAATTTTACGACTCTGGAGTACAACAGTGATCATAAAATGTTTGAGACGGATTCTGGCTTTACTTTACTCCAGGACAGCACTTAAACTCAATCTCTCCCAAATAAGATATTAGGCACCCAATCTTGAACCTCCCTCGTGCAAAGTCGGCCGCTCGACAGAGAAGGAGGGAGACGTAAGCAAAACAAGATAATTTAGCTACAGAGGCTCAGAAATTGTGTTCTTTGAGTCTCTTATTAAGACACGAGCCAGAATGGTTCAAAACAGCAGCTTTAACTGTACACTCTGCTCATCGGTCCGTCTAATCATGTCTGCAATCCCGTCTCCCTGCACCTTTGTAACAAAATAGGAGAAGAATATCTGCAACCAACATTCAAACACACATGTGGAGTCGTGTTGGTCACCGGGTGAAAGAAAAGGCCATGATTAAATTTGTTAGACAACTACAGAACGTCTGTCACCCAGTGCAACTCTGTGAACACTTTCGAGAAGAGACTGTGTAAAAATGTCTTCTCCCCATATTTAAACAACACAGCATCTCTTTCTCTATGGCCGTTTTCAGAAGGAGATTTTCTGGGTCAGACATGTTCATTACAACAGAAAAATGTACGGCGAGGAGCGTCGCCTTTAGGTAGAAATCATCAACACCAGCGTCTGGCCAACAAAAGCTGTCAATTCTTTCAACTGACTTTCCAAGTTGAGATCTCTGTCACCATCTTCTATGTGTATGACACCTCTTTTACATCCTGAGATATTTGTATATAGTTTTGCCTTCTGTTGTGTGTTAGAAATGTCAACATGCCCACTTGTTCTCGAAATATGAAATTACTCATTTTACTACATGGCCAGCTGGAAAAAGTGAAAAGGGAGAATGTTGGGAGCAAATGACTCTGAAAATGTCTGGAGTTCAGTGGACGTCTGAAAGCAGCATATGACAGTCGGGCCTGAACCTTTGAGTCAAACACTGCTGTATTATTCCCTTCAGCTCTGGTTAAACACTGTATTTAATAGTGCAACACGTTTGTGAGACTCTTACTCCAACCACAGCATGAGAGTCCAGGGGGGACACACACGGAGGTGGTCATGCAGGGACGGAATATGAAACCAGGCTAATCATCAGAACAACGGAAACAACAGTTGACATTTTCCTCATCTTCCTTCGACAAAGACGTGCACAACATGGGCAGATAATCTGGGTTAAAGGAGATTAGCTGTTAATAATACTTATGAAAATCCACAGTGAAGTGTTCTCGTCTGAAAAAGATAAACTGACTGTAAATCGCAGACTTGAGAATCGTCCAGGGGCAAAACTACTCGTCCTACAGAAAAATAACAGGCGCAAACACACATGTGAGCAGACGCGCACGCAAAGTTTAAAGCCTCCGTTCCAAAGCTCTGTGACATTTGATGTAAGCCTTTAACTGCTCCTGAAGGGGATTTTGTCCAGGCACAGATACTTTAGGTTGTAATAAATGGATTTGTGTTGATCCATAAATCAACGGGAGGCTGACATTAGAAGTTCACAATCGACCAGCATGACATCGTGAGCTCACAAACGAGTCCAAAATGATGGAAACCATAAATGAAAGGACTGAATATGGAGCAGATGTGAGACGTCCCACACTGCAGAGTTTGCTGCACCACTGCTGCTGCTGCTCCGTCCCCGAGTGAAACCATCGTGAAAACCAAGACACAGGCCGAGAGGAGTTTTACTGCTATAAACCAAACACATAAGCAGAGGATAAAAAACCAAAAAAAAAACAGTTTAATATATAGTTATGAAGGTTTTGGGGAAAGACAGAATCTACCTGGAGCTTGCCAACATTTCCCAGAATTCACCACAGCTTGAAGGACTCAGCCAGTTGCATATTTAGAAGGGAAGATATTACTGCAAGTATTTGTATGACTTGTGCTCACTCTTTTCTGCTGGCAACAAAGTCCAGCTTCAAATCACGTTCAGTCTCTTTACTGATTTTAGTCAGAATAAACACAGACTTATTTGTTACTAGTTAGACAAACTTTTAAGTGTTTGTAGTGACTTGGTTGATTTAGATTTTTCATTTAAACCGTCAGTTGTCCACATTCCTCGTGATTACAGCCGAGGCCGTGGGTTGAAGAGTCAAAAAACAGAGGTTCAAAGAGGTGGCTTCCATGACAACGGGGCCTTGGGTTAGCTGCTTACCAGGTGAGACAGTGATGTATGCAGCACTGATCTGGGTCAGAGATGTGTGTGTGTCTGTGTGTGTCTGTGTGTGTGTGTGTGTGTGTGTGTGTGGGTGTGGTTATGTAATGTTGTAAAATGACGACAATGGTGTTCCGAAGGATTAGCAGGTAAATGACTGTTATCAAAATGATAGATGATTATGTGAAGGTTAAAGGTTACATTAGTGACAGGTTAATGTTGAGAATCATGTGACAGATGAAACATGATTGTAAGGCTGCGACTAAACATTGCTTTCTTTGTTGATTCTATTCAATTTATTAAATTCATTAAAGGGTCAGAAAATGGTGACGAATTCCCATCAAGGGTTCTCAGATGTACATTAAACACTGAAGTTGTTTGTTTCCATCTAAAACACAAAGATATTCAGTTTACTATAATTAAAATAAATGAATTAAAAAAGCAGCAAATATTCAGGTTTGAGAGACTGGAACTAGTAACATGATTTTGGGGATAATAATGTTCTCGATCAATTAGTAAATGGTGAAAATGATCAATCAATCATTTCCCAATGCCAAAATGACACCTTTGAATCACTTGTGTTGTGCGACCTATGGCTGGAAATATATTCAGTTTACGATCATCAGGAACATTTTCAAATCTCCCAAAAATCTTAATAGTTGCAGAGTTTTTTTTCCCGTGTTGATGAATTGATAAGTGAAGTGACAAGTGAATACTCTCAGCTCCACAACAGACAGTGTTTTCCTTTAATGTTAGGGAATGAATGTGAGTTAGTACAAGGTCATTACAAGCACACAATGGACTTGTAAACTGTGAGTCACATCATGTATGGCTGTGTGTGTGTGTGAGTGTGTGAAAAAGAGACTCACCAGCCCATGGAGGGAGTGATCTGGCCAACACCGCCTGGAGGAAGGGAGTAGTACCCTGAGAGGTCCTGGGACTGGTGCCTGTGAACGCCTGGAGGAGACACACACACAAACAGAGATACACACACACAAGGTCAGGTAATTGGCCCCTGGCTCTGGCCCCGACTCAGCTGGGCTATTAGTACTATTAGTTGTCTGGGAACTTGGTATTAAACACAAAGATGCTCTTTAAACAGGTCACACACTCCCATTCTCATCCTGTAACACTGTGTGTCTGTGTGTGTGTGTGTGTGCGTGTGTGTGTGTGTGTGTTACACTGTTTGTGAGTGTGGATGAGACCCTCCGCTGGGAGCTGATGTCACTGGTTGGTTCCCCTAGTTTATTTTACACAAGTGAGGGGCCGTGGTAAAAGCCACATTTAACAAACACGAAGCAGAGACACACACGCACACACACACACACACACAAACATGAACGCACAAACAAACATTCCTCATCTCTACTTTTAGCAAAAATGTTTTCCAACAAAAGAAACACAGACAGCTCGACTCTGTGCCCTCACACAGTAAATACACAGTCTCCCTCTTTGTGCCCTTCAAAGGAAGTCATTTGTCAACAGGCAGCACCTAGCACTTAGCGTGGCCCGGCAGCTAACCTGTGTTTGCAGCACAGGAATGCTGCAGATGACTGTAATTTGGCCGTGGCTCCGGGCCTGTTTCAGGACCCCGAGCCGCTATAAATCTGGACGACAGGAATGCGAGTGAGTCAGTACCCCTATCTCGCCACTCCGATCCTTCCTCCCCTCCCTCCGTCTGTCCCGCCACACCCTTCCTTCCCCTCTCCTCTCCCTCTGTCATCCCTTCTTACTGCCCTCCACCCCACACCTTTTTTACCTTTGACCTCTCTTTTCCCTCCATCCTGTACCTCTCCCTCCTTCATTACAGACCTCAGATCTTTCGGTTCCTTTTCCATAATCCTTTAATCTGTCCCCAAAATATATCGACCCACCTGAATTACCTTTATGCTCACTCACTCATTTGTCCTCCTCTTCTACTCCATCTCACCTGGCTTACTTCTATTCCCCCTTTTTGTCAATTTGACAGGATGCTATGTTGTCCTGTTCACTTTCAGTCATCGATATTTTACTGGTTTTATTTAACATTTTATCACTGAGGATGGTCCAAAGAACTACAAATTAAAATTAAAATTATTTTAAAATAAAAATGTATTGATTGAAATCTGCTTACAACAAGAATTTAATGGTTTTCTATCCAGTAAAGATTTTACCTTTAACTTTGGAAAGTGGACGACACATTAAGTTAAAGTGGTCTGTCCAATGTTATGCAGGAAATAAATGTCATTTCATTTTCTACCATAACTTTTATTGTGGACGATGTGCATAGACTGATTTCACGTATGAAACTTATAAATGATCCAGTTGTCGGAGGAAAGCCTGCAGGAGAAAACTAAGCCCTTAATCAAGTGAATTTAAAGATATGCAATAGTTCTGTTAGCGTAAACTCATTTGGAATTTCTTTTGATTTTTTTCTTCTTCTCTTTTTCTTCTTTCTACATGTTTCGTATATGTACTACAGAACAAGATGTAAGTGTTTGCAAATTTGGGTTGTCTAAAAATCCCAAGAAGGAATGGGCCAATCGCACCGGCATGAAACGGAAATAAAAATTAAAAAAATACGTTTGAATATGTACAAGTGACTTATCAAAGCCAAAATGACCACAAACATGTTCATGAGGCAAACATAACCAGATGAGGTTTTCAGTGAAATATACTGCACACATGTGATGGATGGGCTCTGAGAGGCTGAAGGGACTTTTGTTTCCTGCTGTAACATCTTCCCGTCACAGGTTTGCATGTGGCACATTAGATCAGGGAGGAGTTTTCTCAGCAGCATCGATCATATACATAGAGAGAGAATTATATCATGGTGAATTCCACTCATTGTTAACCCTCAGGCTGCGTTCAGACATAACACAAGTCCTCATTCAGTTCCATGAGAGATGAGTGTTGTTGCAGCAAATGAACAAACACACAAACATTAAAAAAAAAAAAAAAAAAAA